CTCTCTCTCTTCTTTTCACCTTGTTCCGTGTATTTTCATGCTTGCCGATTGCTGGGATACACAGCGACGATTCGCCGAAATTCGGAAAAAAGCAGGCCCTATGAGCCTCAGTGTCGCGTAATACGCAGGAGCTTGCTGTACTCGCTTCCACCGACCACCGTTGTGTCATTGAAATACCGAGATAACTCCGATTGGAGCAAGGCTTGTCGCGCGCCGCCTCGAAAAGTCCGCTCTGATTGGCGAACCTAGTTCGAATTTCTCTCTTCAATCTGTAAATCGTATATTGTGTGATTCGCTCCCGCGTACCTGGATTGGTATATCCTTCAATGGGTCGAGAAACTCCCGAAAAGCCGAGAAAATTTTTCATGGAAATCCTTCCTCAAGGCAGCCGAGCAAACCATGAAGAGAACGGCGGTGCGACGATCGCTCAATCAAGTAGTCCTCCGAGTCACAGAAGAACACTAACAACCGCCGAGCGTTCCCGTCGTAGGCGCCAACGGCACGCGCATGCTCTCGCCCAGGATAATACAATATCTCTTCGGGACTCTCCGATGCATCGGAGTTCGGTAGGCGATCAATGACCCATGCTAAATCCTGCATCATCATATATCGAGGACTGTATAGAAGACCGGAATCCCCATTCGTTGCCAGGCGAAGTTTGTCACCGAGAACCTTTCTCGGATCATCGGGTCGACTAGTGTTCAACAAAGGATGACACAAAACGAGAAGATTCTTCAAGTTTCGATCCGAGTGAAGCTCCGAGAATGAAGGGAATCATGCTCGCTCCCCAATCGAAGGCGCTGGTGATGGCCCCGACCATCTTCACCATCTTCGGGCGACTGAGGAATTCGTTCGAGCATTTTTGCAGCAGCGATTCGATGATGCTTGTTCTGTTTGCGACCGCTTTTGGCTCAGCAGCGCTGTACGTCCAGCTAGACCTAGCTCATTCCGGAGGTTTGAGTTCAGTTTGACATCCCTACCTTGGAATGATCGTGATTCGTTATCGTGAGGAAAGCTTCTCTTTTCCTCCTCTTCGAGACTATCACTGAGCGGCGGCACTCAAAAAACTGAGACCTTCATTCGGAAATGATTTGTCCTTACGTGATAGACACACGTTCATTTATTCACAATGCTGCGACAGAACGACAGCATTGTCTAAAGAGCTTATCGTTGGTTGACCCATTCTCTTCAAATCGTTCGCTGTACCGCCCGCCGTTTGATTCTCTTGCACCACGTTACGGCCAATCTGATAAGTATTCTCCGGAGGACCACTCCGGTTGAAGTGAACTACGACTCCTCGCCTTCGAGGTCCAAAGGGGAACGGGCAGCCGTTACCGGTTCCCTGCCATCTGGGCCTGACTTTATGGGGGTCGGCTAGGCCGCTCTTGTACTCATTTTGCATCCCCACAAATGAAAACTAAGTAAACTCTTCGCCTCTTGGTTACCGGGATCTGTTTCGTATCGCTTGTCTGAACACCATACGTTTTCTCATCTTAAAACTCAGTCTTTCTTCTCCATGGAGTCCGGTGTCCTTAGCTCGCGAGCCTGATGGTTCTCCGCCGGTGCCCTTCCACGACCATTGACTTCGATCGACGAGGAAGGGAAAGGCTTGAATGGTGTAGCCGAGGTTCGAATGAACGACGAGAGTCCATTTCCCAGAGAGGGGATATGAGATAAACGGCGCGCGCACATCGTTTTTCGCTGTCATTAAACGACCTCAGTCGGTCATGTTAATGGTCTTCAAGATCGACGCATGGTCGAAGAAGACTTGAGGACAGTTTAAACGATTGGTTTCGCAGAGACTGACTCTATCTTGAGGGAATAGACCCATCCTTAACGGAGGAGGAATTCTCCGCCGAATATACATGTTTGAAATCAGAAAAAAGTGATTTCTGTGACGATGATTCGACATAGCGTTTCCAGAACACTTGGTTAGGGGTAATCGAGGTCTGCTGAGGGTTTCTTGCCTTCAGTTTTTTCTGGATCCGAGTCTTCGTTCACACGTTCTGCGAGAAGGAGCCTACTTTTTGGGCGGTATCTCCTGAAACAATCAAGACTAGAGGCATTCGAGCAGCGTGCCCGGTGCCTCATTCTCAGCTGAACATATTCAGCCATGATAATTTTCATTGTCAAACGCTCTGTTTCTGAGAAATCAGCTCGAAAAGTTTGTTACATAGGTGAATCGCATAGATAAAGTGCGTAAGCTCCTAGCAGACGACCCTAGCACATACGCATGTGATTTCCGAGATTTGATTTTTTCCGAGCTTCGCCCCCCCAATAGTCCCCATTGAAGTTGGTTCCCGTACCCGGGGGCTATAGCGTAGTTCTACGCTAAAAACCGCGCAGGTAGTCTCGAGACCACTACTGTAATGATGCGTTAAAACGTCTATTCCTCGAAATCTTAGTACAGCTGCAGTGAAATCACATCGAATACATACCTTTAGCCTTCCCTCGAATTGCGTGTACATTGATTTCATCTAAGAAGGGGAGTGCTGAACAAGAAACACGTCGATCGGGCCTTGGTCATAGAATCCCTGCCCGGCAGGAATCGGGATCTCAAACGTCACAGGATATGTAATTATGACGAAATCATTGGACGGTATATCAGGCGGCAGCTCTAGTTTCAGTTATAGCTTCGATCTCACAAGCCGAACCCGATGGTCCTTGCCACTAAGCATGTGGTGTCTCGTCGCCAGATGTTGGACGGGTTTCACTTCTCCCACAACGTTACCCGAGAGGTTAGATGGGACAATATACCGTAAATCTTCTATTAGAAGCCCGGGCTTCTATTTTTTCCGAGTGCCTTCTCAGAGGGGCTTGTATTAGAGAGGGGCTTCTATAGGAGGGGGGCTTAAAATTACTCGAACCGCAGAACCCTGAGGATCGAGTAATGGAGAACTGCCGATGCTTTGAGATAGGAGAGAAATCTCGTCCATTCTTCGAGATGCACAGCTCTTCTGAGCCTTAGTCGAGCGCTACTGTGACCGCATGAGATACTAAACGAAGTTATTCGTCTGAGGAGCGACGTTTGCGTGTTTAGACACACAACAGTGTGGAACGAGAGTCTCCCGTGATCGTTGTGCACAGGTTGTGCATCGACTCGGGTGACGTCGGTGCTCTCTCGGCTCTCCACGATGAGGGGAAAATCTTCCGGAATAGCGCGGTTACGTGCGATCACGGACGGAAGAGGGGCTACTATTAGAGAGATGGGCTTCTATTGGAGAGGGGCTTCTATATTTACGAACCTCCCCGAGGGGGGGCTTGTATTGGGGAGGGGCTACTATTAGTAACAGGGCTTCTAATAGAAGATTTACGGTAGGCTCGGGTCGAAAATACTCGAGAACCTCTCATCCTAGCACAAATATCACCATGGCAAGAAATGTTCAGCTTCGGCAGTTTCGACCGGCTAGACAATAGCGGCTCGATTCCGTCAAGTACCTACGAAAAAAGGGGCGGCCTGACTCTTCAAAATCCAATCGTGCCTTCATAGACACAATTTGCTTCCACAGAAACATTTGAGCGAAGTATTCCCATTCTCTGATGGGGAAAACTACGATTGCACGCATGGGATCATGATTTACATTATGGTCAAGCGTGAAAATTCAAGTATATCCGCGATGGCTCGAAAAGGCGTCTTTTATTCATACGAAGTTATCTCATCATTTGATGGTAAAAACGACTTCTATTGTGAGCAGATTTAGCAGTCAACGAAGCTCATTGTGTGATAATTTTCTCGCCCAAAAATGTCACTTAATGTCTCCACCTTGAGTGTATTAATTGCCTCCCCAGAAACCCTTGAACGATGTACCCCAATTATAAAATCGGAGTGAAAGGGCAGTGCAGTAGAGCTGATGTCGATGATTTGGAAACCCTGCTCCATCTCTAGGAGATAAGAGTGAGCAGAACAGTTAGAGAAAGTCTCCTAATCTTATCCCGGGATTAAGTCAACTGGAAGTATGATGGCAGTGGTGATACATTCCAACCCCGTGATGCATTCCATAAGTACTTCAGTCTACGTACTCCTGTTCCGCCAACCTTCTGGTTGCTACGTTTTGTTGAACAAAAACTCGGACCCGTGAGGCATTCGGAGGAGGAAGCCGATTGGGAAAAAGCGTAGTTCTACGCCCATTATCCGACTGAGTCAGGGACTCAGTCAGTAGCCTGCGTTTTTTTAAAGAAATTTCCATCCGCCATTTCCCCGCCTTCTCACCCCTCAGGCTCCTTGCGAGCTCCCAGAACAGCGAGACTTAGGGACAGGACTTTTCCTGGCCATTGTTATTTTTAAGATCTGCTACCCAAAATACAGGGGCCCCAGCGTGCTATCACTCTCGGAGACCTAAAAACCCCCAGGGATGGATACGGAAATCGAATGGCGGATACCTCGGTGAATTTCCTTCCCATCGATGCATATTAGTGGTCGGCGCGTTCTGAATTCTGAACGACACAAGTTATAGGGTCGCGGAGTGCCTGAAATTTCGTTGCATGGAGGACGATGTGCATTTATTCGAGCCCCTACGTGATATTGGAGACGTTTCCACGTCAAAAAGGAAACCGAGGGATCTCTCACTCCAGCATGAGAACACGAGTCCATCTATGAGAAAAACATATATACACCTATACGGGCAGCCACCGAGATAGGACGAAATGAGAGCTCCAACTTTGATGACTTGCCTGCCAGATGATATCGATTCCATCGATGAGCTTGTTGTCGGAATGAGTTGATCGAAAACAGTTTGCGTCTCCGTCGCAGACCGATTCTGGACAGAGCTGATTGAGTTATTGAATGGATTTGCAGGCGGGAAGATTCCACAATTTATTCTCATTCGTCAATTTCCTGGCATACTCTCCCGGGAAAATTACTCATTCCCGACTAGGTGACACTACACGACGACTCGCTTTCTCACATACGAGAGGGTCTACTCCCCCCGCTGGTGAGGGACGGTGCCGTTTCAGGCTCGGCTCATCAAAGGGGGGAGATCGACTTTTCGACTCCCTTTTACTCGCAAGTTGATCCGTCTCGAGGAGCGAGTTCTGCAAGGCAGATTCTGCTCTGTTGGCTGATTGCGGATCCCTCTGGATGCACCACTCTCGCTCGCTGAAGTCCATCTTCCACATTTTCAGAAGACGGAAATGAATGATGTCGTGGATGAGATAGCAAGGTCTACATATCCCTCCGTCCAGATCGAACACCAATTTCCCATCGAATAGAGTCGTGAAGAGGGTTTCGAGGCGTCCTTCGAATAGGGGAAGGAGAAACCAGACACTCGGTAAACCTCATCCCCCTCGCCCAGCAGGAAAGTCACTCCAGGGTGCGTCATGAGCGGGAGGAAACGGTGGCCGTCGGATCTCCAGATCACCCTGTACATAGGCAGGTTCCGATAATCTCGGTAGACTCCTCTCGTCGAGGCGCGTCCGGGGGGCCCCGGGGAAATCTGGCTCCCGGCACCCGAAGAGCTGAGCTGCGAACTTCCGGACCCGTGCAGGATCGTCGGCGATGGTCAATACGGGAATCTTGGCCATCAAATCACTTGATCTTCTCCCGGCGCTTTCCAGGATCGGTAGCTGAGAGGCGGTTATTCTCGCTCCATCTTCGTAATTGCTCCTGTTCCGGGCGCGATGTGAATCGACACATCCCTCCTCGCAGGCGCAAGCGCGGTCTGCTTCTACCCGCGTCTTGGTCGAACACGAGTTCCCCGTCGAGCCGCGTAGTGAAAATCTGCTTCGAGGTGTTCACCGAGTAGGGGAAAGTCAAGCCGGAAACTCGGTGGGCTTCGTTCCGCTCGTCCAAGAGGTACGCGACGCCTGGATTCGTAATCAGCAGCAGGCAGCGGATACCTTCCGATTTCCAGGTGACCTTGTAGGTCGCTTCTGAGAGTTTCGGCGAAGTCTCTCGGCTCAGGCGCGAGTGGGGAGTGCCTGGGAATCCCGGCTCTCGGTGACCACAGAGCTGGGCCACGGACTTCCGGACTCATTCTGGATCAGGGTCGCGGGTCACGCCCGGAATCCGAGTGATAAGCTTCTGGGATCTGCTCCAACCGTACAGCTCCGGCAGCCGAGGGAGCACATCCGTGGCGTCAAGTCCGTCGACGCTTCCTAGTGGGGCGAAACAGGAGTCGATGCAGTTTCGTTCACAGATGCCGGGCTCTCTGGCTTTCCTCACCGCGGTGGTCGCGGCTTCCGAATCCCAGCCCTTCTTGCCGACTTGGAATGCGCTTATCATAATGAGCGGAGGTGACTCAGGATAGAGATGACGTTCTGGAAGAAGGAAACGGCTTTTCATTGGAACGACGGGAGTTTTCTTCCGGGAGGAATGTCTGTCAATGCTTAGCTCCACAGATTGCTCGATGTGCATTCTCTGAGGACAGCGAAAAGATTCGGAGAGGCTCCGCAAACGGCCCTCCCGCGGGCGTCTTCCCAAATATTTCCTGTTCCAATCGGAACGAGGTTCGGGCTCGGCTGGGACTCCGCTGAGCTTCCGGGAGCATTGTTCTGCGTCCGCAAAAGCGTCCACTCATTCATGACTTCCTCGAACGACCAACCGCGCCGTAAGCATGGGCGAGAGGAAGTTCGAAGAGCGGCTAGGGATGCTGATCCCAGTACAGGTTTGAGTACTGCGATGAGCTCCTCAGATGTCCTCAAACAGCTGTCCTGTATGCCCTGAACAGTCGAAACGGGGGTGGTACAGTACGCGACTCCGACTCAACGTCCTGGATGTACAAGGACGATTTATTCCATCTCCGAGTGATTGGACTGCTCCAGGTAGTTGTCTTCATCAATTTCAAGGGTATGAAGTATGAATCCCGCTCGTGCGTGACAGGACGAGATGGCTCACCCTATGGATGAATGCTTTGGCCGAGAACACCTTCTCTCGCTCCCTGATGCACCGAAGAAATAACCTCTCCTGATAAATTCCTTCGATCCTATACAGATGATTGCTCAGCAGAAATGAGGGTTTCTCCTTCGTGGAAGCAACAACTTGGCCTTTTCGATGAGAAGTTCTCTCAACATTTTGGAACTCTCGGCTGTCAACAAAGGGCGTGTTCGATCTCGACCGACACGTCCGGCACAATGCTACATTTTCGTTCATCTCGCCTACGGTCAATTCCCGCCAATCTAGCCAGGAACAGAGGCAAGCTGACGAAATTTCCCCCAATCGTGGATCCGTGGACCGAGGGATCCTCTCATAGCCCTCATTCAATGCACATCGGTGCACGCAATGTATTTGGTGTCGGTGCACCATCGGTATGGCCGGGATACACGAACGGCGCTCTTTAGCGCCTGCCTCGATGAGGCAAGGCTCTCTACTTCATGGAATGACGCTAAGCTCCCAGTCATCCTCCAGGAGAAACCCATGGCAATGTTGGCGAGTAGAGGCGTTGCCGAAAATTGTTGTCCACACAGACTGCTGGCCGGAATACAAACGAGGCGGATGGCTAGCTCTCTCGAAAAGCTCAATCTCCACGCAGACGAGCAATATGGCTTCAGGCCAGGGAAGAGCGGGATCTCAGCCTGCGAAAAGCTGCTGCGGGACGCATGTATGCCTTATAGAATGACGAATGGCCTTCTCAAGTGACCTTCTAGTTTCGACCTTCGTTTGGAATAGGTCGAATTGAGGCGGCAGTCTCAGTCAGCCAGATAGTTCGAAGATGGCGTCGCGTCGTGGGCCCTGGACATGTTAACATGGTGGGAGACCATGTTCGTGCTTATCGAGCGCTCCGGGGAGTGTATGAAGTTTGAGCTCGATTTCATCACCTCATTCGTGCTCGACGATGGAATATAATCAAGACTATGATACAATCGAGGTTCCTCAGACTTTAATTGGTATTCGATTTTTCTACATTTCTGACTCAATGATACCACCAACCGGACTTTCGACCTGTTGGAAGTCAGCGAAACTCTATTATATGAAGGTTCCGTCACTCTCTCGATCGTATCATTTTCATTGGGCTCCCCATGATCGCAACATTTCCGGTGCTCCCGTGTCAGTAATCATCGCGCGGGTAATGCTCATTCTGTGATAGTCTGATGCCGTCCAAACCCGATTCCGAGCTCCTCACACTTCGTCGATTCATTCTCGAAACGCTCACCGAGCGAAATCCCATTCAGTCGATTCTCCCTCGTCCGCATCATCTGACATCCGACGCCGTGAATCTGAGACAGCATTACATGTCGATTCCTATAGATGCTTTCTACCCTAGGCTCAGCAACATGAGAACACAACACGAAGCAGAAAGAAACACAGCTAGGAAAACGAGCGGGCGCTCCCCTCAGTATGCAAGAGCAGTTCGAACTGAGAGCGTTGCTCGCCGTGGGTTCTGCGCTTGATTGTGAGTGATCCTCCGAAGAGAATCCTGCTTGAAGCTGTACATCGAGAGCTAAGCTCAGTGTAATCGAAATGTGAACATAGTTGAGACAAGAGGTAGAACCGTTTTGACTCTTCACCGAGAAGGAGGAATCCTCCAAGCGCTCGGAGGGGGTGCAACTCGAGCTGCTTTTGCCGAGAAACACGGGGTCAGCAGAAGCGCAGTATCTGGCATCAGCCAGAACCCGCCAAAGACCAGGGTGATGGTAATGGTAAGTTATTGATCCCCCCCAATTGATGTACAAAATGAGAGTGCTCTATTCTTCAGAGTCGGATTCGCCGCAGATCTTGGAGTCTTCCCCACTCTTCCAGCAGACTCTTATTGTTAGTTCTATTCTTCTTCTACGCTGAGGGGTCCGGAGCGTCTATGAAGCCGAGCTTTTCGTCCGTTTCGATATCCTCCACATATCTACACCCGCAGTCGTACAGGACGTGTTCGACCGATCCCTCGTAGACACCACATTTCGTACATGAGCTGTCAAGGTCCGGCGTGTAGTGAGACCTGAAGCTCCTTGTCTGCGAGGCTCCAGCCCTTGCGGGCGCCAGGAAGGCACTTCCACGCGAGTTGTCGTATCGGACTTCTCTCGATCCTCTGATCCTCTCGAAGTTACGATACCTCGTCAGGGTAGACTTCTTCTCCATCTACCGTAACCACACGTCGTCCTCCGTCAAAATAACCTGTTTCCGGATACCGGTATTGAACTTATTCAGACATGGAAGTCCGTTCGGGAAAGTCGGCTCAATCTGGGAGCAACCGAACTGCTCTCGCAGTAGCTTCATACGTTCGTACGCGGCTATCTTGACTCCGGTTAGCTCGATCATGTCCAAGATCTTTTTCACCCCTCTTGTCTCCGGTAATAGATTCACTCTATTGAGAAGCGAATCTTACTTTGTGCCTCCCGAGCTATGAAAGGCGACCAGCCCAGTTCCCCATCAACAAATGGGGTAGCGACGGCCGAGTAAGGGATGCCAAGGGCCCATCTTCCGACCTCGTTCTGGGCTGTCGTGAGTTCCTCAAGCAAGCTAGCCGACATGTTTAGCATACGTCAGTTGTTGTGGAACTGCTGTGGCTTTCCAGAGAATTCTAGAGATTTCAAATCTGTTGAAACTCCATAGGACCTGGGCCCGTAGCTGTCTTTGCGCTTTAAGGACCATTTATTTCCATATTTCCTCCTGTCGGTCCACACAGTTCTTCAAGATGGACTGAGTTACGCCGAGATATTTGTAGGATTCTCCGATCGGGAGTTCCTTTCCCCGGGGGAGGAACTTCTGGGAGGTGAGTCCCTTCCCTTCGGAGAACACTACGATCGCGCTTCTCAGGGGATTGAAGCTTATTCCCATTTCCGACCCAAAGACGGATGTTAATGAGAGTAGTTCTTCCATTTCTCTGACGCTCCTGCCGAGGAGGACTAGATCGTCGACATACAGCAACCCTGGGATGCTGAAGAATTTATTCTGTCGGATGTCGAAGAAATACCCTCTCGTGCGCACGCGGAAGCCCGCTCCTGTTTGGAGGAGTCGGCCTTCCGCTCGGAGATGGTGCAGCTCAAGCTGCTTTTGCCGAGAAACACGGGGTCAGCAGAAGCGCAGTATCTAACATCAGCAAGAATCCGCCGAAGATCAGGGGATCTCTTCAGTCGGCGTTCGAAAAGGGAGCATCGTCGAGCTTGAAGGTGATGAAGATCGCCTCGGGCGAGATTTCCGGATCGGCTCTGTAAATCATGTGCTTCGCACAGTAACGTCCATCTTGTTTCCCTCTTTCGGGTTTCCTCATTTGCCACAGAACTCTTAATTGAGCTGAACGAGAAACTTGGTGGGGACCCCGATTCCGAGGGAAGTCCTGGTAGGTTCAAGAATCGAAACGGAATCCGACATTAGAACATCCAGGGCGCACTGTCTTCCAACATTGAGGGCACTGGGCGATTTCTGTCCGCGCTTTATGCTCTCATCCACAGAGAAGCCCCATGCGCATCAGACAGGACTTTTCCATGAAGCCTTGCCAAGCAAATCATTGGCAGCTTGGAATGAGAGATCAGCTCCTGAACGCAGCGATGGTCTACCCCCCACGCGAGCGGCACCGAGTATGCGAGCACAGGGTATAGCGTGGATGGATCGCGAGACCTTTCCTGATTGAGATTGGCGACAGAACGTCTCCATCCGCGAATCGAAGGAGGCTCCAGGAAGACGGGAAGGAATCGCTGCTCTCGGACCACGTCGATCTGCTGATCAGGTCGTCGCCGGTAGGGGACGGGAAAGAAACAGTAATTCTGAGAGAAATGACGAAATCATCGAGGAGGCCCCAGCAAGGTCTGATTCTGCTGGGAACAAGGAGTCACGAGCGGATTCTCAAGAAGATTGGCTGGTCGAAGGGTAATGCTTGGCCTTACCAATCCAACCTGTTCCGACCGCAGCACAGGCAGCCGAAGAGCACCCAACACACCTTTGCACGGGGCTGGAAACCCAATAAATCTGCGACCCTTCGGATTGGATCCGATTGGCTCAACTCCGAGCCGCTTGACGCTTCGAAATTGAGAAGGAGCTGATGCCATTTTTTCATCTAAAACCATGATCGATGTCAGCGCAATGTCTTGAATGAATAACTTCTTACCCTCGATGAAGATGTAGTGAATCGCATGAGCGTCAAGAGAGGAGCGCCCTCATCCAGGAGTGCTTGGAGCTTTTCTTGCTCGTCCGATTGGGAAAGCTATCATCGACGTGATTAATCGGGTACTGGTGAAACTTCATGGATGATACAATGGAGGATGAGAACTTCTCGAATGATGAGATTGAGTTCCCCGAATATCGGAGTGATACAGACGACTTTTCCAGTGCCGAGAGTCTCAGAATCGGGATGGTGATATATTCGAGTTCAAGACATAGTCCAGCGCCGCCTCGGCCGAGGGGCGATGGTCGCGTAAGGATACTTCAATGTGGTCTGTCCTCACGATCAAGAATGACAATCGCGTTATTGTTGTCAAGAGCATTCGATTTCGATACATCAGGAAATTGTGAATATGGGGTCGTGGCAGAGTCACAGCAATACCACATTTCCGTCGCTTCCGCCCTCCGAAATTCCAGTGCGCGATCTTCCGCCGGGTTCGCCAGCACGAGGCATCGTTCACGATTCGCGGCCTCTCTCACTCATCGCCGCTCGCGAACCACAACACTATAGCTCGGTAAACTAATATTTTACTGCAGCAGGATCATAACAATCAAGAGTTCATGCTGGCCTTCGTAATTGATGGGTCCCTTTTCCATGGGCTTCAAGGAACCCGTGATGCGAACTATGCCTCAAATCACCACGGCGGCAGCCGTCCTGCAGATGTTCAGGTTTGCGCTCCGCAGACTCGACGCAAACCTTGGCACGCTCTTGCCCCTTGGTGTCTGCAAAAATTCAATGAGAGAGTCCAGTGACGGAGCTGGACATGGGCGCTATTTTTCGACGAGGAGAGGGAGTCGATGGAGACGTCCTCCGGTGGATATATGGGTGTTGAACTCTCTGCGCTGAATGCGGTGGACAAACGATCGACCTCACGGAGCTACAACCTTGTCGCGTTGGTACACTTCAGTCTCCTCCACTTTCATTCCGATCGTTTCCATCCTCTCTGTGTGGAGGGTTCCCTCGATCGGGTGCACAGCGGGGGGTTCTCCTCCTAAGGAAGCGAGGCCGTATCGTCTGAGGCTCACGAGGATTCCCCTCCCCGACGCGTCCTTCTGTTTTTCCTTCCGCTCGCTCCCGGCACCCCAGGTCACGCCACCTCAGAAGCGTCGGCATTCCTCATGTCTCGGTGCTTCGAAAACCGGAACAAGGCTTCACCATGCCTTTGTCCGCATTTCGTTCTCTGCCTGTCTCCTCTCCCCGTAAAAAAAGGCCCGGAACCCCCCTCCCCTCTCGTCGGGCCTGTATGTACCCCCCATCGAGGCCGAAAGTTTCTCATCGCATCCGATGGCCGTGGCTACCCAATCTCCTTCCGACTCCGACCACTCTACGTCGGGCTCTCAGCTTCCGCCCTCCGGTCACCTCAAATCCACTAGAATCCTCTGGTTCTGTACCCTCGTGCTTTTTTCTCGGCTCGATTCCCATCCCGCTCGTGAAGTCTTGACATAGCTCATGAGTGATCGTTGATTCAGTTTCCTGTTCAAAGAGATGAGCTCATGTATCGCCAGCAGCCGTCATATGTAGAGGGGATGGTGCGGTGAGGATCGCACGGAGATTAGCTGAATAGACATCTCAAAGGAGACTTGAGCTCCACCGTAGCGCCGATCAACAAAGGTGTCGATATAGAAAGACGAAGCGACTTAGCAGACTGTCATGCATGAGACAGATGGGAGGAGGCAGGCAATCATGATGCATAATCTTGGACTGGAGGGACATATACTCAATGGTCGAACTCGCCTCGGGAAGTTTGGTCAGAGTTCGGAAACCTATGGCGCCAGAGGGTCATTCAGAGTCATTACAGTTTCCCGACGCAGGCTGTGCGACGATAGGGAATCGACGCTCACGAACCGGAGTGCTAGCACCGAAGTTGCTTGGGGGCCATTCGCGGGCCATCAAATGAGGCGGATCCCTCAGAACCACCAATGATTCGTTCCTCCACCAAGAGCAAATCATGGAGCAGCGGCAAAGCTTGAGAGAGAGGAATCCCACGTGTCCGGCGGAGTAGGATGAGATGGTGTCCTCAATGATTGGGAATATATCAAGTGGAAACAGGAGGGGGCATTTGCGCATTGCAACGGTACATGAAAAAAATTTGAGGTGGGTTTGGGCCAGGGCCAAACCCGAGTTGACGTAGACCTACGTTTCGCTTTGTTCTCTTCGGAGTGATACTGGTCTACTTCAGTATTGCAACTATGCGCTTATGATACGAGGAATGAGTTCAGAGAACGCTCCATCCCAATGAGATTCCACAGCACATCGCTGTACTGCTAACCAGATAGACACCTTCATTTCCCACCTCAGCGACAATACATTAAATCAGAAGAAAGAGTACAATTTCGCCTACATCGAGCGACGAGCGACAGAGAGTTTGCCGACTTGGGCCACACAGCCAAGGTGTATTGTTTCGGATCGACTTCTTACAGTTGCTTCCAAGAACTGATCTTCACAATCGGATAGGAACCCGGGAAAATCGAGGCCAAAAACCTCCTCTTTCATAAAGAATATTCTGCCGGCAACAGAACTCCTCACACAAGCAGTGCCCCCTCACGAAGAGAAACGCAAGTTTCCCACAGGCGCGCTAACCGCTCGACCAATCGTCGGTAACGTCAACCGACAGCCATATTGAAAGCGACCCCGTGGCCGACGTGCGCGACGACGGGCCCACACGGCATTGCTCCTCGCGAACAAGATGGCGAATTCAGCCACGTGACTCGGAGCTGCAAATGTGCGGATATGATACAGAATCCTCGACAAGCACGAATTCTGGAAAATTACCGTGCTCCTTCCTGGGTCGGTTCAGAACACAAAATGCCACACAACCAATCGTCGCGAACTCGAAATAAAGCATTTGGAAGAAATTAGGCTCAGGTTATTTCCAAATTCAGGCGCGCGCCAAGCGTTCGCCAACTTCCGTTCACTGGGTTCGCTGAGCGCGGATTATGACGTAGGTCTACGTCAATAGGACGTAGGTCTACGCCAAAAGTGGTCTCCCTCTGCGCCTTTCGTGCTAGCCATCGATCAGGGAAGGATGCTGTCGCGACTCGCGTTGACTAGATGTTGATATGAGTTACCTGAGCCTACGGGCTTATTAGGCCAATTCGAGTACATCAGGCGGTGTACCCAAATGGGCTTTCCGTCTTTGTGACCGATTCCGGGAGTCGAGCACTTATAAAGCCACGATGTTTCGACGCAAGAGAACAGCCTTTAGTCGTCACCCTGGGAGCAGCGATAAAGCCTTTATTCGCTCAATGATCCGATCGACGAAACAAAGATTCGGCCAATCTCATTATATGTCTGCTGTGAAGAAGAACCGTGGGCATGGTGTTTGGCATCGGATACCATGCTTACAGCTGAACGTACAGACATCACAGCCGT